CAGGAGTGAAGCCAGGCGGGATTACAAGCACCGGATAGGGGCCCTCCAGGATGCTTTGGGACCAGATGCAGGTCCTCGTGAGCCAGTGCCGCCTTCCTCAGTCGTAAGAAGACGTCAGCTGAGTCGGCACGATAGTTTGGCCTGGCCCTAAGGCAACTAGCTGTAAAGACCTTCCCACAAGCCATGCCAGAGGTACCGGATGTGCTGGATCGTGACCGTTTAGTTAGCAATGCCTTCAGTGCAGGCAAAAAGGCTGGGAAAACCCCAGAGCCTGAATGTGGCTATAAAGCTCCCACTGAGTTAGATCTAGCAAATGAGCTGGGGGCTCAAAGCACCCCGGACGCTGAGGCCAGGGTACGGGTCGTGCTAAGGAGAAGAAGTCGGCAATACGCACCCAAAGCCCTGAACCGTCGGTCTTGCAGACGATGACGGAGACAATGAAGAAAATGGGGTCTCGTCAGGAGGGGGCGGATGGGGCCGTGACCCCCTCCAGAGGGAGTGCCCAGAGAGGGGCGGCGCTCCGGGCAGGGAAGCTAAACCGGGCAGTGGAGAAGGGCCCACGCGCTGCTGGTAAACCCGGAGGCCCACGGGATGAAGTGGTCATTGCCGGTGCCCAGGGTTGCCCCTTCCGTTACACGCTCACATTGCACGTGCAGTTCATGCAATACGTGACGTTACGAATACACACATTACCGGTGTTTTTTCCAACCTCGCTCCCTGGAGGTGCTGCAACGTGGTGCCCAGGGGACACATGGCACCACCCGTTCCAGACATGGGAACGGGGTGAAGGAGACGCACATAAAGCTGAATGCTCAAGGGTAAGTTTATTCTGCTCATATCAGTGAGACGTGCGAGAGCATCACAGACAGGAGGGGCATGGGGACGGCCGTGGCCATGGGACACAGCGATAGTTTGGAAAAGACATTTTACAGCCAGGGATGCGGGGCTGGTCTCTCAAAGGAGCTCCCGAATGGTTCCTGGATGCGCCCGAGGGTCTGGGACGACCTCCCTCTCCCTCCAGGTCCAATTCCTTCGTCTCACTTGCTCCCCTTGGGCACAGGTGAGCTGCTTTCCCACAGCCTGTGCTTGCAAAGGAAGGCGAACTCCGTTGCACAGGGATAATCGTGCCACCTCTGGAAACCTAGGAAAAGGAACAGAAACGAGAGCTGGGAGGGGCAGGCCGGACCCCACTGCCCTTACGTGGATCTGCCCCATGTTCATCTTGGAGTCAGTAATGACTCCAAGATCCCGTTGCGCCTCTGTGCATATACAATGTGCCGCTCTGAGCAAAGGCTCTGCCTGCCGCACCCCTGGAGCCTGCACGCTGGAGCCTGCCTTTGGGGCAAACCTCATCCGTTTCCCCCCGCCGTGCCCGCTCTCCCTCCTGCCAGGGAAACAGCCCGCAGCACGGGGGCACGGGGGCAGCATCACAGACCTTACATGGTCCCAACGGTGCTGGGGTCCCCCGGATGGTGCACGACAATCTCACCTGAGTGGATGCAAGATGCTGCGCAGTACTCGATGTTCCTCACATTATTGGGTTGCCCTCTGTCCCAAGATAAATAGCTGACCGCAGAGTCATCCGTCCACCTCCAGCTCCGATTCTGAAGGGACAACAGAGACAGAAGTCCTTATGCAGTCCACAGTCAGGCCAAGCTGGGCCCCCAAGTTGAGGAGCACTGAAGAAGCGACCGCCCCCAGGGAGCTGGTGTGACATGTCCAGCACCACCGAATTTATCCCCCCGGGGTTTTAACCCAGCCAGATGTAGCCAAGCATCTCAGAACAAAACATGCAGGCCGCAGCAACAGCGGAGGAGACTCTCCGCTGGGAAATGGATGCTTTGGTGGGATTTGGAAATCCGGGTGGATAAGTATGAGCTCCCCACCACATGCTCCTTGGATGGCTAAGCTGGGGCCAGACTGCATGGCCTCTGGAGGTCCCTTCCAGCCCCCTTCTCTACCAGTCCAGGACTCCTACCATTACTTCTGCATTTGGCACTGATGCAACCACTTCTGGGATACCACCTCCTCTTCCAGGGTCTATAACTCCAGATGTTAATACATTGGAGAGGAAAGTCACACAGATGACTACAGGCCTGGAAAACCTGCTTTATAGTGAAAGACTCCAGCAAGGTAGCATGGCCAAGAGTCGATTAAGGGTCAGAGTGAATCATAGTGTATAAATATCTATGTGGGGAGCAAAACATTGATGGCAGGTTCTTCAGTCAAAAGATAAAATCATAGAAAAAGAGGGAGCGCAGGAGGTCACATGTGGTCCAACCCCCCTGCTCCAAACAGGACCAGCCCCAACTCCACCATCCCAGCCAAGGTTTGTCTAGCTGGGTCTTCAAAACCGCCAAGGATGGAGACTCCTCCACCTCTCTGGGGAGCCTGTTCCAGTGCTTCACCACCCTCCGACTGAGAAAGTTTCTCCTAATATGCAACCTCAACTTCCCTTGCTGCAGCCTGAGCCCATTGCTCCTTCTGCCATCTGCCCCCACTGAGACCAGTCCAGCTCCACAATACCATGGATGGAAGCTGAAACTCAGCAAACTCAGATTAGAAATGAGCCTTCATATTTTAATACTGCAGGAGATTAGCTCCCGGCCCCAATCTGCCAAAGAATGACACAGATTCTCCATCACGGGCAGTTTTTCAGGGAGGACAGGAAGTTTTCCTGAAAGACGTGAGCATGTCGAGCAAGGAGTAGTTCAGGGAAGTAAGTGACTGCAGAGGACAGGACAAGGGGGAAATGGTCTTAAACTGCAGCAAGGGGAATTTCAGGTGGCTATTAGGGAGCGCTTTCTCACAATGAGGGTTTTAAGCATTGGAACAAGCTACTCAGAGACCTTGTGGAGTCTCCCTCCCTCCTTGGTAGTTTTTAAGCCCAGGCTGGACAGACCCTTGGCTGGAACAGCCTGGACAGGACAATGCTGCCTTGAGCAGGGGGTTGCACTCATGCGACCTCGCTTCCAGCCCTCTTTTCCCATGCATCCAGGATACGGCTGGACCCACATGAGACAGGAGGTCGAGCTAGAGCCTGGCAACGGCCGTATGACGTGCGAGTCGCTGGACGGAGAAGTGGGAGGAATGGCCGGGGCGGGGACCGGCACAGGACGCTCACGTGCTGCCGGTCATAGAGTCCGATCCAGACGCAGTCATTGTTCCTGTGGTGCTGGGAGATGTACCGGGCAATCATGCTGTTTTCCATGGTATTGTGAAGGGAGGCCAGGTGGACCCCAGGACCGTAGCTCTGACATATGATCTGGGGCAGGAACAAGGAAAGGCAGTTGAAGACATTGCCCCAGCTTTGGTCTGCGTGTCTGCTTTCCCTAGTCACCTTCCCAGCCCCCCATGCCCCCTCGGCAGAGACCCTTCCTGCATCACCAACTCTTCCTCCTGCAGCTCCTGGCCTCTGCTCTGAGCTCGGCCTCCCCTGGAAAATGGACCTCGCCTCATAGGATGGACCGGACACCGGTTTTCAATGAGATCATAGGCTCCCCCTCCATAGCATCCACCCCACCACTGTCAGAGACAGACTCCTGGACTAGAGGGACCACCGGTCTGACCCAGCTGACCTTGTCCTGACATGATGGACGGGGCAGTGAGCACGGATGGGACCAGCCCATTGTACAGAGCCGTGCAGGTCACACAGGTACCTGGGCTCACGTGACTAATTGCACATGCTTTGGCACAGCAAGGTCACACATCTGGGGCACGGACGGGGCGGCGCTGGTCGAATGGGGCTGCATCCTGGAAAGCAGAGGCCAGAGAAGGACGCGGGGTCCCTGCAGGAGCGCAGGCAATGAGAGCTGCCCGGAAGCAGATGAGACGTCGGATGTGCCAGCGGGAGAAACGTGAGTGCTGCAAATGTGTGTGTGTGTGGGGCGGGGGGGGTGACAGCCACATCTGGTGCTGCTGGGCCCATCAGACCCCTGCAACCACCCCAGGCCTCACCTCGCCGCTCTCCAGTCCCTCACCTCAGCATCCTCCCACCTCTTCTTCTGCGTGAAGTATCCGTAGCAGCCGCCTTGGTGGCGGAGCCAGCCCCTGCCGCACTTCTTGCCTCAATGGTCTCCTAAGGCAGAGCGTGCTGGGATGGGGAGAGGTGGAGAGGACACCGTGCTGAAAGGCTGCTCAGGCCCCAGCTGGGCTGCACTCAGCGGGGCTCCCCCGGTTCCCCAGCAGCCCCTGGTCCCCCCGAGCCCCAGCCCCGGGCAGGCGACATGACAGGGCCAGGGTGCGTGGGGGGAGCCCTGGGGCTTGGGCTCCGTCTCCTTTGCGGGGAGAGACCAGTTTTTTGGGGGGCAATTCAGGACCCCTTTGTTCACCGGCCCTGGGAGGTCCTGGACTCCCAGCGCCAGGATGGATCCCAGACCCGCGGGTCCCTGCACCCGCCCTCCGCAGCCTGGGGCAGGGGGACCCATCCGGCCCAGCTCCTCAGGCCCCGGGGACTCGGTCTCACCCATGCCCGGGGCAGCCAGAGGTGCTGTCTTCTCCAGGGACCCCGCTCTGCTGGTCTCTTCTGCCCCAGGGTCCGGCGTGGAGGGGGACTGGGACTCGCTGGCCGACGACTGGTGGAGCATCAAGCAGCCGAGGAGGCAGAGACGGATGCGAGCGATGGTTCCCATCTTCTCACTTCTCCTGGGGAGAGACAATAAGGGCAGAGGCGGCCACGGGAACACGGGGGGTCCCTGCAGCGACCCGCACCTCCCTCAGTGCACATCCCGGGGAAGGTGCTTCTGAGGGGGGCCGATGCGCTGGGCCCATTTTGCAGCAGGGTTTGCTGCACGGGGTCCATGCCCAGGGCCTCTCGCCTGCCCGCCGTCCCCCCACTCTCGGGCAGGGCAGGGAGGCTGGCAGCAGAGCCCCGCGGAGGCACGCCCCGCTCCGTGCGGACAGGCAGCCACGGACAGCACCGGGCAGCGGGGACACAGTCGGGCCTAGGCCAGCTCCGTCCCAGGCTCTCTCTGCCGTGGCTGTCCCAGCCGGGGGCAATAGGGGCATGAGAGGCAGGGACTCACCTGCCCGCGTCCCGGGACCGCCCCGCAGCACAGAGGATTGAGCTCAGTCTCTGCAGGATGCAGAGGCCTTTATAGCACCGTCAGGGAGGGAGGAGGCTGCCCAGGAAACCCGGGCCAGGTGGCGAATGCGGACATCTGAATCCAGAGCAAACAAAGAAACGAGGGCACCCTGGGATGCAGCCCGGCTGCCACGGCACCGGCTGGGGGCAGATGGCACGGCCAGCCTCACACAGCCGGGGCACGGAGCAGACAGGCGGCCGTGGCCTTGGAGCCTTTCCCAGCCGGCAGGGCCGAGTGACCCATGCCTGCACGGATGGGAGCTGGCTTTCCCTGCAAGGGGCGCGTTCAACCCCAGGCGCTGCCCAAAGCAACCTCCTGGGGCCGGGGATGAGCTCAGGCAATTCCCCCTCTGCCCCGCGGGAAGATGCTTCCTTCTCCTACTTCCCAGGGCACCTGGAAAGGGCCCCGTTGCTTCACTGGCTACTGCGTCCTGCTTTCCAGCCACCGAGCCGCGGGGCAGGACAAGCGTGGGTGCAGTGGTCCTGGCGTCCGGCTGTGCTCAGAGATGTGATGGAGCAGGCGGCATCAGCTGTGCCGGGGACCGTCCATCAGTCACATCCCCAGTGCCATGTCCTGACCCTCTGGAAGCCTGGCCCCTGGTAGAAAAAAGGTACAGAAAAGTCACAGATGTCAGATGTGTTTTACAACTGACGGCCTAAATGCATCTGACATCAAAATGTTTCCTACCTGCCCGTTCCCTTGGTGTTCACCGCTACTAGTCAAACGTTAGCCAGAGAAGGTGCAAGAGGCAGAAAGGAAACTCTGGACAGAGCCCAGGTCTCAAGGCTTGGTCATGTCTTATCATTAGCATTGTGCTAGGGCAAATACTTCAATGGCCCTCATTAACCGCAGCAAACAGAGATCAATGCACAGCCCAGCGCTTCGATAACAGGGCACAAAGCAGCCTTGTGCCTCGTCAGCCGTGCAGGCCTCCGTCTGGATCCGAACACGGCGCTTGTGCCTCCAGGACATGGCGCTTCGTGGCCAGGCCAGGAGGACCGCTCCAGCGTTGGGGCCAGAGAAACGGCAACGGCAGGGAGAGGTCAACACCAGCAGGGCACGGTTTCCCTTCCCATCTGAAGCCCAGGCTGACAGGTCTGGGGTGGAGGATACTTGCAGGTAGGAGGGCCACGTGTGGTTTTTGAATGATTCGAAGGATTTAGAACTAATGTGACCTGGAGCATGAACATTTTTCCAAAATACGAGAGAGCTGCCCGGGGAGGGAACCGTAGCTGCAGCCCCAGGCAGGGGGCAGGAGCGGGGCCGGGCGCTGCAGGTGACCCCCCAGGACGGGGCTGGAGGAGTTGGGGGGATGGCAGGTGCAGGAGGGGTCTGTACCAGGGATGGGCGCGCAGCAGCAACGGGCGAGGGGGCAGTTTGCAAACCCAGCGCTGGCAGGGAAGAGACGTGCACCATCCTGGGTGGGTTGGGGAGAGCTGCTCCCGGCCTCCTCCTCCCCAGGCCCGTCCGCGGGGCTGGGAGGTTGTCCTGGGGGCATGGAGCAGGGCCGTGCCCGGTTGTCACTAGGTTTCCAGAGGTGACATGACTACCCCTGCCCATGGAGCTGCACCTGCATATGCAAGCTAGGAAGGAGTCCCCCGTTTCCATAAAGCCGAGATCCTCCAGCTGGGAGCCGGCCAGCGGGAAGCCGAGGCTCTCATAGGGAGTCCTGTCCGCATTTGCACAACCGGATGGGGATCTCCGCGGTCTCTCCGTCGGTGGCGCGGACAGTCGTGGTGCGTCCGTGGTATTGCTCTTGCACAAGGTCAATGACACTTTCCAGTAGGCTCCGCTCGCGGAGGGTGCCGAAAACGTGGCGGTGGGGCACGGAGCCGAAGGCGTTGGAGATGTCCAGCCACGCCACCGCGCACTGCTTCATGGTCCTCCGGGCATTGTCCAGGGCCGTCTGGAGGGTGAAGTTGTGCTCGTGGCAGCCCTCCATCGACATGAAGCCCTTCTGGCTCCAGCGGACGGCCCTGCCAGTCACTGCTCAGTCGAGGCCTCCCTCCAGAGTCCCTCCAGGATCTCTCTCGCTGCCTTGGGACGGTTGGCCCGGTACAGCTTCTGGATCCGGGAGGGTGCCACCGGGTCGTAGCACTGGTGCCTGAGTCGCCTCTGTGGCTGCGGTCTGTGGTCTCGCCACGTGGTCGGTCCACTGTTGACACTTCTCCAGGGTTGGCCAGGCCAAGCGGCCGCCAAGAGCTGCTCGCTGAGCCGGGCCACCGAGGCCTCGAAGGTGGTGGTCCAGGAGAGCTCCTCCAGCCGGAGGGTTTGCCATGGGGTGGGCATCCTCTGCTGTGCAGAGGTCTCCGCACCCGGGGATCCCGGCACGCTCGGGAGCTGGAGGGCTCTTGGCAGCTCGGCTCATCCGGGCCGCTCTGAGATCCTCGGCGGGTCAGAGGCATTGGGTGGCCCCGGGGGTCTGGGAGGAGGCTGTCCGGTCGGGGCGCCACGTCCAGTCGGGGATCCCTGGGTGCAGACCTGCGTGGTGGCATCGCTGGGGCAGGCCTTTCCGTCAGGCAGTCCCTGGAGGTCTTGTCCGGTGGGTTGTCGGCGGGGTGGCCGGTCTGGCGGGACTTCACGCTGCGGCCCGAGCCGGGGCGGTGGACCGCACCAGCATGCCAGGTCTCCTCTCGGCTCCGGGGCCCTTGCATACCTTGCAGTGGTTTTTAAGGGGCTTCAGGGCCTCGTACTCAGTGCCGCAGCGGGAGCAGTAGCATGCTAGGTGCTTATTCATGTCATTGTGCAACCTATATGGTCTTGGCGGGTGGCAGGTCAGACACAGCAGCTTCGCAGGGACGGGGAAGGGGAGGAACATGAGTGCAGCCACGTCTACACCTTCACCTGGATCGTCCATGGGGGGATCTGGTGTCGGGGGGGTTTGGGGCTCCTCCACCAGTGTGGGGAGACCCTGGGGGGGGTCATCCTCGGGACTGCCGGGGGCCAGGGGCCATCTCCACTCAGGGCTCGCCGTCATCACCAAGGGTCTGTGGGGGTCTGGAGGAGTCCGCTGTCGCTTGGGGTGCTCCACCGCTGTCCGGGGGCGTCCTCGGGGTCCGGCGTCTTCTGCCGAGATGTGGCTCTCGTCAGCTGGGGCTCCGGGCTCTGAGAGTCTCTGCCTCCGGGGGTCGGTCAATGGCCAGGGCTCCGCCACCGCCTGTTGGGGTCCCGACATCGCGGGGGGTGCATCAGGGACAAGAAGTCCTTTTTTAAATACACAGGGGGCAAAAAGAAGGCACCGGGTAACATGGGGCCTCTGCAAGACACGCTAGGAAATCTGGTCGTCACACCAAACGACAAAGCCAACATATTTAACGATTTCTTTGCCTCCATTTTCCTGAGCAGGGACCAGATCAGCCCCCCACCGGGCCCCCCTCAGACCCACAGGGAGGCGCACCCAGGCCCAGGGTCAGGGAGGATCTAGTTAGGGAGCGTCTGGAGGGACTGGACATGTTCAAATCAACGGGTCCGGACGATCTCCACCCCCGAGTGCTGGGGGAACTGGCTGTGGTCATTGCGGGACCCCTGGCACGGCTGTACGAGCACTCGTGGGGCTCAGGTGTGGGGCCAGAGGACTGGAAGAGGCGAACGTGGTTCCTATCTTCAAAAAAGGGGAGGAAGGAGGACCCAGAGAACTGTAGGCCAGTTAGTCTTACCTCCATCCTGGGCTAGCTTTTTGAGAGGATTATCTTGGCACATGTCCACGAGGGGCTGGGGGGAGATCATGCTCAGGGGCAACCAACACGAGTTCATCAGTGGCAGGTCCTGTCAGACCAACCTGGTGGCCTTCTACGACCAGGTCACCAAATCCTTAGACGCAGGGGTAGCAGTGGACATCGTCTTCCTGGACTTTCGGGAGGCCTTCGACACTGTCTCTCACCCCGTTCTCATTAAGAGACTGGGGGCTGTGGTGTAGACACCCACACAGTCAGATGTGTCGCCAACTGGCTGGAGGCCGCACCCAGAGAGTGATGGTGGACGGGTCATTTTCAGCCTGGAGGGACGTGGGCAGTGGGGTCCCCCAGGGCTCGGTCCTCAGGCCCGCACTGTTCAACATCTTCATCAGCGACTTGGACGAGGGGGTAAAAAGCACCTGTTCAAATTTACTGATGACACTAAGATGTGGGGGGACGTGGGCACGCTAGAAGGGAGGAATAGGCTACAGT